GTTTAGGCTCAGCACCCATAGCAGTGGTTACGGCACCAGCTATACACAGAGGGTGTAGGGTTCGAACCTAGCCCAGGCCAGCTAAACAATGACAAATGCAACAAAAAATAGCTGGGCACTGTTGTGGGTGCCTGTACTCCCAGCTACTTGGGAGGCTGAGGCAAGAGAATTGCTTAAGCTGAAGAGTTTGAGGTTGCTGTGAGCTATGACACTATAGCACTCTACCAGGGGTAACACAGAAAGACTCTGTCTCAAAATAAATAAACAAATAGGAAATTACGTTTAACCCTTTTTTTTATGTTTGTATGGATATTTATGAATATGTATTCCAAAAAAATTTTTTTGAGACAGAGCCTCAACCTGTCATCTTGGGTAGAGTGCCGTGGCATCACAGCTCACAGCAACCTCCAACTCCTGGGCTCAAGCAATTCTCCTGCCTCCACCTCCCACATAGCTGAGACTACAGGTGCCTGCCACAATGCCCAGCTACTTTTTGGTTGCAGCCGTCATTGTTGTTTGGTGGCCCGGGCTGGATTTGAACCCGCCAGCACAGGTGTATGTGGCTGGCGCCTTAGCCACTTGAGCCACAGGCCCTGAGCCTGTATTCCAAAATTGTATGAGATTCCTAAAAATCTGCTATGTCTTGGTATATGGTATCAATCATAATTATGTCTATTAAGTGGCTGTAGGCCAGAGAAAATAACCAAATTTCCCTGTCAATTACATTTTTAATCAAGGTCATTTAAAGTCTTGACCACAGTGAACTACTGTATTCTTTCTATTTTTTTAGAGACAGAGTCTCAGTTTGTCGCCCTAGGTAGAGTGCCGTTGCGTCATAGCTCACAGCAACCCCCAGCTCTTGGGCTTAGGCATTCTCCTGCCTCAGCCTCCTGAGTAGCTGGGACTACAGGCACCCACCACAACACCCTGCTATTTTTGGTGTTGTTGCAGTTTGGCCAGGCCAAGTTTGAACCCACCACCCTTGGTATATGGGGCCAGCCTTAACTACTGTATTCTGATGCTTATTTTTTCTGGAAACTCTCTGCAAATTCAAAAGTATTGTTTCATGGAGGTTCCTGAAAAAGATGTAAAGAACACTTCACAGTTGGCGGTGCCTGTGGCTCAGTAGGTAGGGCGCCAGCCCCATATACAGAAGGTGGCGGATTCAAACCCGACCCTGTCTAAACTGCAACAACAACAGCAAAAAAGAACTCTTAACAAATAAAGGTCTCTGATACCTTTGAGATTGTATCAGTGGACTGGATAAAAACTTTCAGAATTCTAACAAAAGAAAAAAAACTGGACTCATAAAATTGTTAACATCAAGCAACACAAGTTTTAATTATATGGCACTGAATTGATGAAAGACTAAAATGATTTTTTTATTCCTTTTTTGGTTTGAAATATTGCTGATTTCTTTTGTTTTCCTTTATAGAATTTTAAAAAAACTTTTGTGTTTTTTTTTTAGCTATTGGTAGCTTTAGCAATTGGGTAAAGTATACTTTTATAAACAGAATTAAAACATTTACCTTTCTCTCTACCTCATCCCTCCAGAATTTAACAACTATTTGTGGGCTTGGCACCTGTAGCTCAGCGGCTAGGGCACCAGCCACATACATCAGAGGTGGCGGGTTTGAATCCAGCCCGGGCCTGTCAAACAACAATGACAACTATAACCAAAATATAGCTGGGCGTTGTGGCGGGTGCCAGTAGTCCCAGCTACTTGGGAGACTGAGGCAAGGAATCACTTAAGTCCAAGAGTTTGAGGTTGCTCTGAGCTGTGATGCCATAGCACTCTATCCAGGGTAACATGGTGAAATTCTGTCTCAAAAAAGATTAAAATAAAATAAAAACTATTTGTCAGTATTCTTATTTTCTGACAATATAATCATTCCCATAAGTTCTATAAGAATCTGTTTTCTTTTTAGGATACAATTAAAGACACTGGTTAATTTAGCAAGGCTTTGATTGGAATGTTATATTTTCAGATATGAACAGATAGTGTAAGAACTAAAATTGACATTATAAAGCCAAAAGAAGACTTTGGATAAACTGGTCTGGAACCCTAAATACATGGTTCAAATGGTTACTTTGCGGCAAGTAAAAAATTTCAATTTCTGGGTGGTGCCTGTGGCTCAGTGGGTAGGGTGGTGGCCCCAAATACCAAGGATGGCGGGTTCAAACCTGGTCCTGGCCAAACTGCAACAAAAAAATAGCCAGGCACTGTGGCAGGCACCTGTGGTCCCAGCTACTTGGTAGGCTGAGGCAAGAGACTCACCTAAGCCCAGGAGTTGGAGGTTGCTATGAGCTGTGTGATGCCATGGCACTCTACCGAGGATGATAAAGTGAGACTCTGTCTCTACAAAAAAAAACATTTCAATTTCTGACAAGCCCAAGAACCTCAAGATATTTGGAAGACCTAAAGAAGAGGAATTCACCTTATTCATACAGGTATTATAGACACAGTCTGAGGATGAGTCAACTGCTTGGCTTAGCTTCTTAGCACCAAGAAGTCTAACCTGAGATTCTTTTTTTTTTGAGACAGAGCCTCAAGCTGTACCCCTGGTTAGAGTACTGTGGCATCACAGCTCATAGCAACCTCCAACTCCTAGGCTCAAGCGAGTTTCCTGCCTCAGCCTCCCAAGTAGCTGGGACTACAGGCGCCCGCCACAACGCCTGGCTGTTTTGGTTGCAGCCATCATTGTTGTTTGGTGGGCCTGGACTGGATTCAAACCCACCACTTTAGGTGTATGTGGCTGGCACCTTAGCCACTTGAGCCACAGGCGCTGAGCCTAACCTGAGATTCTTTATGCGAAGTTCTAGCAAAGCCAAGTTAAAAGAGCCTGTATAATAAATCACTGTTCTTGCTAAACCTATGTAAATAATTAGGCCAAGATCTTATCTTACTATGATTTATCTTTGGTAGAAATGGAAGACTGCAAAGAGAAAAATTATGTTTCAGAAAAAAACTATAGTATACCTGTTATGAGATTCTAGCCCTGTCCACTGTTTTTGACTGAATCTTAAATTTTTGGTTTGCTCCAGTATCTGGCTGCGACTCTCCAGACTAACATTTTCTTTCTTTTTTTTTTGAGACAGAGCCTCAAGCTGTCCCCCTGGGTAGAGTGCGGTGGCATCACAGCTCACAGCAATCTCCAACTCCTGGGCTCAGGCGAGTCTCCTGTCTCAGCCTCCCAAGTAGCTGGGACCACAGGTGCCTGCCACAACGCCCAGCTATTTTTTGGTTGCAGCCGTCATTGTTGTTTGGCAGGCCTGCACTGGATTTGAACCCGCCACCTTAGGTGTATGTAGCTGGTGCCTTAGCCACTTGAGCCACAGGTACCGAGCCCAGACTAACATTTTCAATTTTCACCCACCTTTATGAGTTGGAATTACTAAGAATTAAAATTGCATTTTTCCAGCCAGCTGCAGTGGCTGACACCTGTAATCCTAGCACTCTGGGAAGCCTAGTCAGGTGGACTGCCTGAGCCCAGGAGTTAGAACAGCCTAAGCAAGATCCAGACCCTGTCTCTACTAAAATTAGAAAAACCAGCCAGGTGTAGTGGCAAGTGCCTACAGTCCCAGCTACTTGGGAGGCTGATGTCAGACTTTTCTTCCCTTATCCCCCTGAAGAAGGGTGTATAATAATCTGTACCCAACTGGGTTATTTGCTAATCATTCTAGTCTAAGGCAATTCTCTCCTCCTATAAACCTACCTTTTGTTGTCTGTTGATTTATCAACGAATAAGGGGAAGCTTCCCTTGGTCCCTCCTACATGCTACATAGCAGAGGACATAAAGCTTCAACTTCTTGAGCAGTCCCCTTCACTTACACGAAGGAAGTACAGCAAGGAGGTTGGAACAGCTATCTTTCCAATGTATTTTTTAGAACTATTTTTCAATAGGCCTCATAATTTTGTTCATTTTTGCATCCTCAGGATCCAGCATTGTGCCTAGCATAAAATGTGCACTCTGGCAAAGTTTACTGAACTTAGGAATTGGCTGATATGGTGCGCAGGTACTATGGCCAGAAAAGTAGTTTCAAGTCCCAGGCGACCCACTAGTTTTGTGACCTTAGGCAAAGTCGCCCTACCGAGAAATTGCCGAGACCAATTTCTTCATCAATAAAACAGAAATACTACTACTTGCCTAGTCTACCTCACTGGCTCCTCAGAAGGCTTCACAAAAACGCTGTACATGTGCCGAGTTTTGGTAGGGTTGATTACCATGAATGGTGAGAGGAAAAGAAGCCTGGCCCCCAAAGTAAGAAGACTGTGGCCTGTAGGGCAGGGACTATGACTAACAGGCTCCCTGTTTTCTCATCTTAAACACTGAGATACAGACTCCATGACAATCAGACCTTACGCTCTAATAATCTGCCAGTCCGCTACAAGTTCGGAACCTGAGGTGTCCTCAGAAAGGTAAACCCCAAGATTCCTAGACGCACCACAGGGGCAGGGACAGTCAAGGTCGCGGGATACTAAGACCGGGGGCGCTCACCCAGTCAAAGTCACAAGGGTTGCCATCCTCGCGTTGGGTGGGAAGACCGCGGCAGAGCGGCGGCAGTTTCCTCACAAGGAGGAAAGCAGCAGAGAGCAGGGCAGACAGAAGGTAGTAAGGTCGAGCTAGCCATCGTGAAAGTCGGGGTACCGAATACACCAGAGCAATTAAAGGTGCCAGGACCGCCATCTTTTTGGCCCTAGCGGCGTCCGCCGCTCTCGGCGTCGTAGGTCTGAGTCCACTTCCCCAGCATTGAAGTCTCTATTGGGCCAAATCTCGAATGCACTGCCTCCAAACCCCGAAGTAGGTCTCTGATTGGGCGGTAGGGCGGCCCTGAAAAAAGGATTTGATGTATTATTGGTCAGTCTAGCTGTCGCCTTTTCCACCTAAGTCATTTTATTGGATATGTAATTGTGAGGCGCAGACATCAAGAAGACTCTAATGAGGTTAGGTAGCACTTCCTAAACGTTCTTATAAAGCGACGGAAGTAATTGCGCAACGAGGTAGGCGTGGCCTGACACATCCAATGATAATCGGCGTCTAGAGAATGAGGGCGGTACCCCGTGAAAGGATTGTCCAATGAAAATTATCAACGGTAAGACATCGAAGCGGCGCCGAGGCTGAGAGGACGATGGAGAATTTCACGGCGCTGTTTGGAGCTCAAGCTGACCCACCACCGCCCCCAACTGCACTCAGCTTCGGACCAGGAAAACCTCCACCCCCGCCTCCGCCTCCTCCTGGAGGGGGACCTGGCACGGCCCCGCCCCCAACCGCGGCCACGAATCCTCCCGGCGGCGACAAGTCAGCAGCTGGTTGTGGCCCCTTCTACCTAATGAGAGAACTGCCAGGTGAGTATTTGGCCTGGCGGAAGCCACCCGATCTGGTCTTAGCGAGGAGGTGATGGGCATGGCTATCAGGCCGCTGGCTGAGGTGAGAGGTAAGTTAGGTAACGCCTACCGGACCTCAAAGTTGGAAGGGCTGTTAGAAAGCCCAAAGGGATGATTTGAATTAATGGGAATTTGAGGGTGGGGTACGTGTACATCTGTGTGACTGTTTTTTCGCTCCGTATCCGGGCTCTGTCCCTGACGCTGGCTTTAGCTCCCTAAAAACTAATCAAGGGTTTGAGTTTGGTACTCGAGAGGCCTGATTTAAATTGGCCACCCAAAGTTTTAGTTTCAAGTTTGCCACAAACTTGTTTGGAGCAAGTTGCCCTTACCAGGGTCTCCGTGTTTCCTATCTGTTCAAAGAAAGGCCTAGAAGTGAACCAGACTCTTGCAAATCAAGTAATTATTTTGTTGAGCACCTACGAAGTACAAAGCACCGTTCTAAATGCTGAAGAGATACAGCTGTAAACACAACTGACTAGAGCCTTGCCATTGGGGAGTTCACATTTTAGTGGAGGAGGCAAACTGTAAACAGGATGATACCAGATAATGGTTAGTGCTAGGAATAGAACACATGATAAAGAATTAAGGGGGTAGAACGATTTCAGCTAGAGTGCTTAAAGAACCCCTTTAGAGTAGGTAACATTTGAATTAACATGGGACCAAAGAGCGATGTATGGACAGGAGGGTGAGATAACTCTCTATACAAAAAATGAGGTCAGAAGCCCTGATATGAGAAAAGGCTTGTTTGGACTATCTGAGGGACAGAAGACCCATTCGTCACCAGTGAAGTAAACAAGAGGGAAGAGTGGTGGGATTAGAAGGTGAGAAAGTTAGGCAGAGACACTTATAAAGCAATAAAAACATTTAGATCATAAGTTTGAAAGGAAACTATTTTAATGTGGGAGTGACATGATAAAATTTATTTTTAATCAGCAGCTCCGTGAAGAATGAAAGTCGGAAACCAGTAGTTTGGGAAAGAGATGGTAGTTTGGACCAGGCTATACATGTTTCTACAAAAGAAATAGAAAAATTAGCTGGGGGTAGTTGTAGGTGCCTTTACTTGAGAGGCTGGGATAGGAAGATCATTTGAGCCTAGGAGTTTGAGGTTGCAGTGAGCTATGAGGATCCCATTGGGCTCTAGTCTGGGTGACAAAGACCCTGTCTCAAAAAGAAAAAAATGAGGCCAGGCATGGTGGCTCCTGCCTGTAATCTTGGCACTCTGGGAGGCTGAGGCAGCTAAATTGCTTGAGATCAGGAATTCAAAACTATCCTGAGCAAGAGCAAGAACCTGTCTCTACTAAAAATAGAAAAATTAGCCGCATTGCGGCAGGTACCTATAATTCCAGCTACTTTGGATGCTGAGGCAAGAGGATCACTCAAGTTTATTATTTATTTATTTATTTTGAGACAGAGTCTCACTATGTTGCCCTTGGTAGAGTGCCGTGGCATCATAATTACAGCAACTTCTTTTTTTTTTTTTGAGACAGAGCCTCAAGCTGTCACCCTGGGTAGAGTGCCGTGACATGACAACTCACGGCAACCTCCAACTCCTGGGCTCAAGCATTCTCCTGCCTCCGCCTCCCAAATAGCTGGGACTACAGGCACCCACCACAATGCCCACTATTTTTTTTTGGTTGCAGCTGTCGTTGTTGTTTGGTGGGCCGGGGTGGATTTGAACCTGCCAGCTCAGGTGTATGTGGCTGGCGCCTTAGCTGCTTGAGCCACAGGCGCCGAGCCTGCAGCAACTTCCAACTTTTTTTTTTTTTCCTGAGATGGAGTCTCACTATGTCACCCTGGGTAGGTGCCATGGTGTTATAGCTCACAGCAACCTCTGACTCTTGGGCTTAAGCGATTCTCTAGCCTCAGACTCCCAGGGAGTCTGGAACTATAGGCACCTGCCACAACACCCGGCTATTTTTTGTTGTAGCTATCATTGTTGTTTAGCTGGCCCTGGGCGGGGTTCAAACCTGCCATCCTTAGTGTATGTGGCTAGCGCTGTAGCACAGGCACTGAGCCGATCACTCAAGTTTAAAACAAAAAAAAAGTTAGAGGTACTGCCAACAGGAATGAATAATTGTGGAAGTGACAGATAAAGAGTAATTAAGGGGCCAGACACAGTGGCTCACACCTGTAATTCTAGCACTCTGGTAGGCCAAGGCAGGTGGATTGCCTTAGTTTAGGAGTTTAAGACCAGCCTGAGTGGGAACAAGACCTCATCTCTAAAAACTAGCCAGGCGTTGTAGAAGCTGAGGCAAGAGGATTGCTTGAACCCAAGAGTTTGAGGTTGCTATGAGCTATGATGCCATGGCATTCGGGGGGGGGGGTGACAAAGTGAGACTATCTCAAAAAAAGAGTAATTAAGGATGATTTCTAAGTTTGCAGCTTGATTAATTGGGTGGATAATAGTACTGAGACTTGAACAATGAGAAAGGAAAAAGTTTGACAAGATGGACATCAAGAGTGTTAAGTCTCCAAGATAGCTTTTCAGTTCATTTCTAACTTTTTTTTTTTGACAGAGTCTTGCTATGTCGCCCTCAGTAGAGTGCGATGGCAACGTAGCTCACAGCAACCTCAAACTCCTAGGCTCAAGTGATTCTCTTGCCTCAGCCTTCCGAGTAGCTGGGACTGCAGGTGCCCGTCACAATGCCTAGGTGTTTTTAGAGATGGGGTTTGCTGTTGCTCAGGCTAGTCTCTAAACTCCTGCACTCAAGCAGTCCGCTCATCTCGACCTCCCAAAGTGCTAGGATTACAGGCATGAGCCACCGCACCTGGCTCATTCCTAACTCTTACTGCTATATCATGATTTAAGAGAAATAAGAAATATTGGTCTGAGTTTAGCTCTTGTAGCTCAAGCAGCTAGGGCACCAGCCACATACACTGGAGCTGGCAGGTTGAATCCAGCCCGGGCCCACCAAATAACAATGATAATAACTACAACTAAAAAAAAAGAAAAATAGCCGGACATTGTGGCGGGCACCTGTGGTCCCAGCTACTTGGGAGGCTGAGGCAAGAGAATCACTTAAGCCCAAGAGTTGGAGGTTGCTGTGAGCTGTGACACCATAGCATTCTACCGAGGGCGACAGCTTGAGACTCTGTCTCAAAAAAAAGAAAGAAAGAAATATTTGCTTTCAAGTTTGCAACACACGTATATGGAATAGTATTTACTATTGAGAATAGCCCTTTGAGGTAGGCATTGTTACCTGCATTTTTTAGTAGAAAAATTGAGGCATCGAGGGTGGTGCCTGTGGCTCAAAGGAGTAGGGCGCTGGCCCCATATGCTGGAGGTGGTGGGTTCAAACTCAGCCCCAGCCAAAAAAAAAAAAAAAGAAATTGAGGCATAGAGAGGTTAGGTTTGCTTTGGTTAGTGGTTGAGGTCCACCAGTAGTTTCTAAAGGAAAGATTAGAATCTTTCTTTTGCCTTACATATTCTGATTATACCTATTTGTATCAGTTAGTTGATGGATACTGAATATCTGTTCTGGGGAAATGCTGGGTATATGAGGGAGGTAAAAAGCAGAGGTTAACAAGCCTATTCCTTCCTTTTTTAGGAGATTGTTTTAGTTAGGAATGTAAAATTTTTTTTTTTTTTTTTTTTTT